AAACACACAATACACAAAAAGTAGTGCATTCACGTTGTTGTTATGTATAAATGCAGTTACACACACGTTCAATGACCAAAATGCATCCAAATAATAGGAAGCCCGCTGTCACATAGTACTCCAGCCAGTCCATTCTCTGGTACTAGGCAGCAAGAAAACATCTCTTCTTACTCTCAAACAGGCTTATGGGGTACGTGTTAAGACTGGCCCATCTTCTCCTTAATCACTGCTGTTGAACCGGTCACCCACTTTCTCAAATGGTATAAAAATATGGAGCTAGATTAGCAACTTAAACTACACCCAATGACATACTTTTAGTTTTCAAAATTTGAATTGCCGCTCAACTTGTTAAACATTACTAACAGCTGTACCAGGTGGCTGGCCTGACTTTTATAATAGCATTTTATGATACAGTGTTGCTATTTGCAGGATACGGTCATGCTTTAAAAGCTGCTAATAAGATGTATGCTGTACAATGGAAGCCTTCTCACTACCTTACCACCAGACATTGGGTCCTCAAATTTCTGGTTGTTGTCAACTGCCACAATAAATGGGGCTAGTGATACTACTTTACAATACCATTACACTATTCTGCATCTTAAAGTAAGACTAAGACTACACTATATAGAAACACTATTAAAACCTTTGCACACATCTATATAAAAACTGTACTATACAATAGACTTTACTTTGCAAATCTCTGCTGGTTGCATCTGGCAGTTGTGGTGGAATTAGCAGAAGTTGTTTCACCATCTGTTGCCTGCTGGAGATCTGCACTTTATACTGAATGCACTCTCGCAGTTCTAAAAGATTTTTAAGTTGGTATGTTTATTGTATTCTCGACAGGATTTGTACGTTTCCTCGAGGGGTACTACATTGTGTTGATCACCAAGCGTAGAAAGATGGCCGACATCGGTGGCCACTCCATCTACAAAATTGAAGACACCAGCATGATCTACATCCCCAATGACTCAGTCAGGGTTACACACCCTGACGAAGCAAGGTACTGTCGCTTTCTCTTTTAGGAACTTTTAGGAATCATGCAGGGTTGCTGTTTGCAGAATACGGTCATGCTTTAATTTTGTGTTTTGGCAGATAGTGTTTGTGTATGTGTGTGTGCTCACATTTGTTCTCCAACGCACACTTTATAAAGTTAAATAAACTATTGTAAATAAGTTGTTTAGGACAGTGGTTCCCAACCTGGGGCTCAGGACCCCAACTAGGCTCGCCAAAGCTTCCTGGGGGGTCACGAGGCCTTCCCTCAGTGTTTTGTTCATTTCTATGAAGTAAAGTAAAGTAAATTGTCTAATAGAACAATGGCCCAGTGTGAAGGACAAGAAAACACTGTATGTGTCAAAAAAGACGCCCGTGGATGATTAAAAAAATAAATAATACAGACTAAGAATTAGTTCCCTAAACGGGAAATAATCTGCTCAGAATTCATGCAAAACACTTGTTTTACATAAACCTCTTACAGTTATTGAGTTAATTATTATTATTATTATTATTTGGGCTACTTGTACAATTTGTTAATACAATATGAAATATCCATAAAATATTTCACTTATTAAGGGATCGTCAGTTTACTAAATGATAAAAAAAGCATGTGTTATTAAATTCCCTCTATAGATGACTTTCTTTGTGATATTTATTTCAGATGTGTGTTTAACTTGCGTTTTTGCTCTTCTAGATATGTGCGGATCTTTCAGAATGTGGACCTATCCAGCAACTTCTACTTCAGGTAAGACAAATTTTCAGTCTAAATTCTCTCACAAAAAAGAAAGAAACATGGTTACAGTGTCATTTATTTAAAATATAATTTATAGATATAAAATATATCTATAAAAGCATTGAGGAGGCTTGCTAGACCTGTCCTCCAGGGTTACTTATTTGTTTGTTAGCAGCATTGGTCCAACATGACTTACATTTGTTAGAAAATCAAGATGACACACGGCTGGCTATTTGTGATGTTGCACAGAGTTCAGTTGAGGTCTAAACATCTAAAAATGGCTTTGATTTATTTGAACTTCGTTTTCCTGTTTTCTATCTTGACAAATGTCCGCTATGTCAATTTGTTGTCATATCAACAAAACATATCTTACCTATTGATGCATATTTAGTCTAAAAAAAAGCCAGCAGTTCTTTGTCAGTCTTGTCTGACATGAAGTACACTTGATGTTTCCAATTGTACAACGCGTGTTGAAATTGTTTAAAACTCTATTTCTGTAGTTTGGCCACATCTCAAATTGATTATGGGACTGTACATGCTGTACCTGATTCATATTATATTGCCATTGTATCTTGCAGCTACAGCTATGACCTCAGCCATTCGCTGCAGTACAACCTGACTTTGCTGCAGAGGCCTTACGAACTGTGGTCATCACCAGCATCCTCTGCGGAGGAAGAGGTACAAACACAGAGCAAGCAGGACTGCTTTGACATCTTTGAAGATGAGGGTTTGCCTACGCAAGGTGAGTGGAAGTTAATTAGTAGCCATTATATTCCTCTTGTTTGTTCTGTTGGCTGGAGAAAGCCTCCTAATACTCCTGCTGAAAAGTAGAGCATGGCTTAATTTCATATTTTTTTATATTATTCATGGTATGCAAGGGGAAACTGGTATCTTGACACAAAACATATCATCTTTGTTGTATAGTTTAACTAGTTTGTTCAAGAAAGTAAGATTTATTTTGATTGATGTGATTATTAGTTAAGTTAAAGCTTACAGGAATTAAATGCATTTCTATCTGTCTTGGTCTCCCTGTCTGTCCAATACCTATTAATATTTAAAATTACAATAACAGCAAGGGAAAAATGAAAAATCTAATAATTTAGCTTTACTTTTGGCTAGGCCATTGCATTAGCTAGCTTTTGCACAATAATGCAGTAGCTCAGTCTGTAGGGACTTGGCTTGGAAACCAGAGGGTCGCAGGTTCAAGTCCCACAGACCACAATACGGAGTGTGGACTGGTAGTATAAAAAATAAAAAAGACTGCAAAAACAATTTCCCCAATAGGGGATAAATAAAGTACATCTTATCTTTGCTATCTCTCTTGCTTCAGCTGTGGCTGCCGCTTTATGGTGTTTTGTTGATATTGCAACTTTAAACACATTTCAATGGCATTATAATTCTTTATATAGTAAAACAGATGTCAAGAAAGTCAGATAAATAAGTTTAAAGTCAATTTTGACCAAGTATGTAGTGTTAGCTAAGCTACTTTGTTTGGAATAAGCCTTTTCACGCAATAAATGAAAGTTAATGCTAGCCTAATTGTTTTCCCTGTTGCCACAAAAAAAGGTGTAAAGCCGTTGATGTATTTTCCACAGTCAGAGGTGTCAGTTATCTGTTCCGCTGCAGGTTTGTGTGTTTTGTTAAAGTCCATGGAAAATCCATTGAAAAATAACTGTTCTATCATTTGTGTGTATTGTAATACAATAACACAAGCTTTATCTCAGTTTGAGCAATTTAATACAAATGTTTCCAAATATGCTGTTGTTCTACAGCCTGCGTCACCTCAGCTTTTTTCCATTTTTTGCTTTCTAACTGATAATTTGGTCTGACCCAGTAAAATGATCCAGAGGTTTTATGTGTTCCTTCTCTTCCGCCACAGTGGTTTACGGCCTCCTGAACGAGCCGTACTACAAGTACGTGTGGAACGGGAAGCTGCTGGAGCGAGTCAAGGACATAGTGCATCATGACTGGCTCATGTATATAATCCATGGCTTTTGTGGCCAGTCCAGTATCCTTTGAGCATTGTCAAATCAGTTGTGTTTGTGCATTAGAGAATTGTTTGGCTGTTGCTTTTACTTATGTCTGTCTGTGCTTTTTTAATTGGCAATATCCACTTGTTGCTTTGGGTTTTAAAAGAAACTTACAAAATGTAAAAAATGGGAAATAAGAACTGTAGAGTAGCTTGTTGGGACATAATATCTGTCAGCACTGATTGTTTTGATCAGTCACACACGAGTAGAAAACACAACTTTAATCTGACAATGTCGTCCTTTGTCGGCACTCCCCCTCATCTCCGAGCCTCAGCATCACTTGTTGAACTGTGCGCGGCCTCCATCAGAGCACGTGTATTACACTGTGAGCAAGCGTGTGATTCACCACAAAAGTGCCGAAGCAATTTGTGTTTTGTTTGTAGGGCTAGACAAGTATCATGACAATTAAGCAAGGTCATCAAGTATGTAAACACCGGCACTTGGCTAATCTCGCCATCTGTTACCTCCCTGGAAATAGCAGCAACAGTTTGCATACGTAATCAGATACTACACATTTGTTCTTTTTGGATTGAAGATTGAAGACAAATCACATTTGTACACCTATACACGTTTACACATTCGCTTCGGTGCTACTGTAGTTTTTTCTTTAAAGTTTTGACTAGACACTAGCTGCATACCAGGGATTAGTATTAGGCTCTACATGAATAATTTCCCCCAATTTTTTTTAGGCTTTTGTGGTATTGATGCATGGGTTACTGCTGCAGAGTGGCTTTGGGCTTGACTAGAGCTGAGTAAACAGTCTGATTTATTATGGTAAAAGTCTGCCTTAGGTTCAAGTCTCCTTTGCATAAATCACATTAAGCTATGTAAAATATGTTGCCTTTCTGCCTTTTAGTAAAAAAAAAAGTAACTCTTTTATGTTTTATCAGTAATTTGTTTTTGATGAATTGATATTTTTATGCCAGCTTTTGTCTTTCGGTGTTGCAGCAGTCAAATAAGCTAAGGGGCACATTGCTCTCAGTAGTGCTCATTGTTGTGTCTCCTATCTGACATTGACATTGTGTGGGCGCTTTGAGTTTAGAAAATTCCTGGAAACTGTTTGGCCTTCAGTGCTGTTTTCTGTGAGCATAAGAGGACAGATGGGTGCAATAAGAGGAGACTCAGTGGATAGAGTAAATGTAGAAATGTGCAGCAGATGAGGAGACACTGAAGAGAAGTGAATTTAGGCAGAAACAGAAGAATTTTTAGTATTATTGTTAGTCTTTCCCAAAATGCTCATACTGTAGATTTAATTTGTAGATCTGTGATTTGGAACTGTTTTGAATTGATGCTCAGAAATGTTTGCTACATTTTACCACCCTCACATGCTGCCCACTGTTATTTCCTGGGGGCTATACACCCACTGCCTAAAGTTGGCGCCCAGAAACGTCACAAACACAATAAAGTAAGAACAAAGAGGGCTGGGTTTCTGCAGGTACAGATACCGCCACACTCTTGTATTGGGCCATACTTGTTGATTGAGTCAATACTTATTGTGGGGGGAAAATCATGTAAGGAAAATGCTAAATATTCTAATAAAGTTACTGTTTTTAATAGTTTTCATGAAGTCTGCCATGGTTCGTCTACCAAAATAGAAAATTATAATTTAGTGGTTTGCTTGATATTACATAGCTTTGTTACACTAATGTAATGTCAGTGTTTTTCAGAAATCACAGATTTCTTTTAAAATTGACACCACAGTCTACAGCACAATATCTCCATGAATTTGCTTTTAGTTTTTGTTCAAATATGCTTTGTTTTTGAGTTGAATGTACTTTTGAGGATAATAATTATTACATCAATAATATTAATAAGAATTTTAATAGTGCTTATCTTTGGTTTCCACTGATTAAGATGCTAAAAAAGTTGTAATTTGTCACTGTGGCCCAATACAAGAGTGTGGTTAGGAGAGTGGTAGGGGACTACAAAAAAGACAAAATCAATATTCTAAATTAAGAACTATGATGTATTTTAATATCAGCATGTGTGTGTTTGCAAACAGGTGATTATATTTGTGTCAGTGGTGTATTATTATTCCTCCTTCACCCACCAATTGCAGAGCTTCTGATCTACGGCCGACCGGTTCACATCACCCTCATTGCCAGGCGCTCCAGCAAATTTGCCGGGACCCGCTTCCTCAAAAGAGGAGCCAACTGCGAGGTACAGCGGTTGCTGAGGCAACAGGGAAGAATAGATAGTGGAGGCAGGGCTGAGGGCCACTGGGATGATGGAGATGACTCAGGTTGATCACAGGGGGTTAATTTGACCCGCTGCCTCTTCCTTGAGTATGCATGAGTGTCTGTGTGGGTGTGTGGTGGGAGGAGGAGGGAGGAGGAACAAACGTAGATTTCCTATTTCTGTTTGGACTGCTATCCTGAGATTAGTTTGGGCACAATTTTCACCTCTCAGTTTCCTGCTATTGTGTTTAACGCCAAGTAGTAACTATTTTTCACTTTAGGATCCTGTTTGATTTGTCATAGCAGTAAAAGCACAGGTGTAATTAATATTGTTAACGATGGCTCAGCTCCATTTAGGTGTATGCTAGCAGGGCCGTCAGACAAGTGAAGCCAAAGCGAGTGCAGCCCTCATTAATATTATTAATTACCCGTGTGGTTGCCCTGCTGTGTGATGTCAAAATATGTGCTTCGTTAGAAATATGAGCTTTTGATCCAATCTTCCACAGCAAATGGAGTTTTCCTTGTCATGGAATAGTAGGCGTTCAAATTTCAATTTTTTGAGCGCTTTAAGAAAAACTTGTTAATCTTGATGAACATCATGTGATATGCTCAAATGCTCATAGCGGCATTGATTTCTATTTCCATTTTTTTCTAAACACTTCTCATCCATGTTGTCTTAAAAGCTCAAAAGTTCAAAGTTCATGATTTTCCTTGGGAGCAACAGTTTAGTAGCTGTTCTGGAGCTTTCAATTCTATTACATGGTCTTCATCCACAGATGGACATGATCAAGATTGAGATTGCCAATTCACTATCAATGAGAATTTCTTGAACTGCTCAAAAAAGGAAATCTGAACATCTACAGAGACTGATAAAGATGTAATGATGGAAAGGGCCAGAACAGCAACTAAATGGACCGTGTGGTGAGATTGTTCTCTCAACCTTTTTTGTTGTTTCTTTATGTTTTTCTGTTGTTTGCAGGGGGATGTGGCTAATGAAGTTGAGACCGAGCAGATCGTCCATGACGCCTCAGTCATGTCTTTCACAGCAGGAAGTTACTCCTCATACGTCCAGGTGCGAGGATCAGTCCCGCTGTACTGGTCCCAGGACATTTCCACCATGATGCCAAAACCCCCAATACGATGTAAGACTCTTGCTAAACACCACATATTTTTCTAACATCAGCACCTTCTTTGCTATCCAGCATCAGAATAATTTGTTTAAGAAATTAAAAAATCATGTAGGAAAAACGTTATCATCACTTAGATGATGTGCATTTTGCTCTTTATGGTGAATATAAATAGGTGAAGGCAGGACACCCCCTTCTTGGTTTTCATCTGTGTATCCATTCTCTTGTCTCATTATAAGGAGGATAAAAACACAAAACCAGGGCTACAGGGAGATGATCATTGGAGACTGCTGCGTGTGTTTCTGGTGTGTGTGTGTGTGCATACGCAGGGAGCCATTGGGTGCTTGCATGTGTACAATGCCTGTATCAAATCATAATCTTTTCTCCCAGTTTGCCCTTTAAGTCATCCCCGGATGACATTTGCTTGTGTGAGATAGAGACACTGAGCGTGTCCCTAACATCCCTTTGTGTATCAACTTACCTCATCATCCTGCTCCCACTTTGATCCTTAAAGACAGTCCTTATCTGACATTTCCTAAATGTTGTCCAATTCTTGCACCGTCGGTTTATATTTCACTCTGTGTGTGTGTACATGTGGTTTGACCTTGGTATTGGTATGCTCTTTTAAATTATAGTTTTGCCTTCACTGGAGATTTGTCATTTACTAATACATATTTGAGCGGATGAAGAAAACAACAAGAGAGAACGAATAAATTATTCATGTTAGGTTTGGTTTGCATATCTGCTCTGTAAAAAAAAATTCTGTGCTCTTCTTTATTTTTAATTTGTTGGTTTTATGTAGAGCTCCTCTTTTTGCATTAACCAGTTGAAAATAGTTGTGGTAGATTCATATTCACCATGCAGACAGGATAGTGATATCAATCTTTTCTTCTGACTCTAATTGCCCAAAAATGCCCATTATTACTATTCCTTTAATAACCTACCTAAAAATGTGATTTCAGCCAGTTTAGATGCTGCTGTGGTCCTTACTCTTGAACACTGTACTAGTAACAAAACACTGTCTGCCAATGGTTTGTGTATTTTATCTGTTTGTTCCCCCGCTATCCATCAATCACATACAGTGACATACTGATAAATCAATCAAATTGTTCCCCAAAGACTTTTTTTCTTTCTTTTAACAATAATTTATACATTATTTTTGACTGCAAAAAGGGATCACTTTAGATAACCTAGTTTAGACCAAAGATTCACAGTGAGATGAAACTATTTTAGAACATTGCAGGGAAAAGTAGAGGCGGTGTTAATTGCCCATCTCAGCTCGACTCAAACCGGCTAATGGCGTTGCCTCCGACTCAGCTTGTCAAATCAGGTTTTAACAGCCAATAAGTAAGCTGGTCAAGTCAGTTACAAACTGTCAGCTGGTCAAAATTGCAGAGTTTTGACTGGAGGAAAGAGAGGATAACCTCATCAGTTTGTTCGAGGGACAACCATGTCTGTATGACAAAAGTCTCAAATGTACTCAAATAAAGAGCACCCATTGACGGCTCCAAATTCAACCCTCTTGTTTTGTTTTATGTTTATGCCATCAAAACTAGAAATGCAACTGTAGTAACTCACAGTCACTGTCCTCATTCATATTTTAAGATGCTACAGCGCCTGAAATGCTGGAAGTTAGAATAGGACTACTTTGCTATGGGGACAATACACCGTCTCGTCTAGTTGAATTGGTGTAAACTGGCGGTTTGCAAGTAGTTGTTGTTGTGAATCTTTGTTCTGAACTGGCTTAATTGTAATTTCAGTTGGCCTTGTCTGTGCTGTCTACCACCACTGTGAGCATTGTGAAACTGAAATGAAGCCTCAACAATTCAAACCTGGGTGCAGCTCAAGTCAGACAGATAATCAAGCCACGTTCAATGCAGTTGTTATATTTATTTGATTGTGATGTGGGCTGCATAGAATGACAGCTATTAGACAAATCTAGGTCAGAGACGTGGTAGAGAGACAGTCTCTGTGCATGCAGAGTACATATCAGACAGGCATTGCCCATTGCCTCATCTCTCCCATGACTGTCAAGACCTATTGTTACATAAGTGTGTGTGTATATATATATAATGTCTTTATGACTGCCCTGGACTGGGTGAATGTCTTGGTTGTGAAGGAGATGACCTTAATGGGCGACTCTTCTTCATCGTCATCATCATCATTATCAACATGAGGGCTGAGTAGACGCAGTTCACGAAATGATAATGGATTGGTAGTGGAGTTAACTTGAAAACTACCTGCTTGAGTTCGTGTTTGTATTGTCAGGCTTCTAGACACCAGTAGGCAACTGTATGGGATGAACTGTGGTGCCATCTGACCTACTTCCTCTAATCTTTCTTCTGGCTGCTTCACTGGTCCAATTTGATGGCAGGCTGCAGGTGTGGTGTGGGACTCTGCAGGAGTGGCAAATGAAGGCATTAAACTTGATTTTAAAATAGGAGGCAGGGTACACTCTGGACTGGTTGCTGGGAGGTCACATAGTAGAGAGACAAACAACTGTTCACACTCACATTCACACTTAATTTAGAGTCACCAATTAACCATTAAATAGGTTGAAGAATGAAAATGGATGTGAATGCATGTAATGGTGAACAGGCACTTCTGCAGGACCAGAGGCAGTACATGTGCTTGCTCTGTGTGTAGTTCTATGAAATAGGTTAGCCCTATTAAAACAAGTTACCTCATCTACTTACGTTTACTTTTTCTTACTTTAGTGAAGAAGCTTGAGTTTTGAGAAGAAGCTCAACTAACAAATGAAAGATACTGTATCATGTTAAACTACATAATCAAATGTTATACCCTGAATGTCCTAAATAATAAACAAACCATTTGACTTCTCTTTTAGTGGACCAAGCTGACCCATATGCCCATGTAGCTGGCCTCCATTTTGACCAGATGCTGCAGCGGTTTGGCTCTCCTATCATCATCCTCAACCTGGTCAAGGTAAAACACACAAACACACACACACACCTTTTTGAAAAAATAATGTGACACAATTGTAATGCTTTGAGCAATTTAGCAGAGGCCACAAAGGTCCTTGCTCAAGGACACTTTTAAATAATACATTCAGGACATATGGAATTACTTCTGTGGAGCTACATTGTGTGGTCATAGATGGTATCCACTCAACAGGTCACTATTATCTACACTGGTTAAGGATCATGCGCTATGGATTTGTAAACCCGTCTATATTCTGTTCTGTTTAAATTTCACAAGAAATTCTGACGAGATCAGAAGAAAATATAAAATGGAAGAAAATGTGTATGTGAGATACAGATGTGGATCAGTTGTGGATTGTTCAAGTTTCTTTGGATGAAATATGCCCAGTTTGTGGAATCACTTGACGGGTTGTTATCGCACACTGTGATTGGCTAATTGTTCCAAGCGCTGGATTGATATTGGGGGTTAGTCGTTCCTGTGGAGAATTTCACCATCACAAGAGATTTTCCTGGTGGTGGGTGATTACTAGCAGTTGAAATGCTAACTTGAATATTGATTTCTCTCTGCATTGCTTTGAAAACCCACACAGCAGTAATGAAAGGAAGGACATCACTGCACACACCTGAAAAGACACACGTGGCTTTTACCCCTTTGACCCTTTACATTATGTTGCTGTAAAATCAGCACCAACCAAAAACTCATCATCTATCAAACTGCCCTTGAATAATGAAAAACATTTATAATATTAAAAATAATTAAATTCCAAGAAATAGTAATGATGATGCTTTAAAACGTATGATGCTAATAAAATGCCTCCCGTTCAATCTTAAAAAATGCACAATAAAATCAAAAGGTTGCATGAGAGACTCGTTTTTTTATGTTCATCCCTGTGTGCAACACTGTACGACATCTTTCATTTGAGCCAGTGTTGTAGCGTAGCCTTTTCCGCATAGACACACACGGACACGATTGGGCACACAGCCATACACTCTGTAGCTTTGGTTTCAAGCTCACGTTGTCACTCCCAATGGGATCTCTGTGATGAGGGACCAATCGCAGACCTTTAGAGGTCCGCACAAGCTGCAGCCATGTGAGGAATGGATGTGTGGAAACTGTGGGGAGCAAGGGAGGGGGTGCCCTGATTATACACTACACCTTCCTCTCTTAACCCACAGAAGACAGAAGGAGGAAGGAATTGGCAATTAACCGTGCAAGCATGACAGTCCATCTCTCCATGGTGGTGACATGGGTCGGCACGACGGGTTCATGGTTTTGTCATAGGTTGGTGCGTGTTTCTGAGTGTGTATGTTAAGAGAGGAGGAGTGCACATGGCCAAGCATGTGAATCACTTTTTCAACCAGCTAACTTAATTAGAGTCACTTTGTTTTGACTTTTACTCTCCCCACATATTTAATTTATTATTTTAATTTAATGAGGATGATCTCTCAAGATCAAAATCTCTGTCCAAACTGAAAGCAACCATTCAACATAGAACCAACAAAGAACTAAGTAGGAGGAATAAAGATGAGAGCATAAAAGCAAGCCATTTTTACTGTGCAAAACTAAACATTATAATAATTACAGTGCTCATTCCCTCCATTAAAATGTGCACTGCTCTAGCCTACATGTGCATGTGTGAATGTTTAGATTCAGGTTATTATGCATGATCTGCGACTTCACATTTGTACACTCACAACAATGATTGTTTAGTGGCATGTGTATGCTGGTTGGTTTATACCTGTGAACATGTGTGCTTTTGTAAGTATATGTGTAGTGTATCTCTAGTTCATCTGTGCCTAGAAAGTGTTTGTCCGAGTGTGTGCATGTGCCAGACTGTATGACATGCTCTGCTTGAATGGAAGAGGAGATGCATCAGTAATTTGACTGGTTGCTGTGTTGCTTTGCCGCTGCTGGAGATGTGAGCTGCTAATGATGCATCCAAGCCCATTATCACCCAGGGTGATCAGTCAAAATGGCACAGTGACTGGAGAAATAACTTTAAGTTAAGTGACAGTGTGACTACACTAAATTTTTTTTTTTACCTCAATTAATTAAATATCTTGACCTCAGAAGCAGTTAAACCAACAGCAGTAAAGCTTTTCAGATGAGTTTAAAGGTCAAGTGTGTAACATTTAAGAGGATCTATTTGCAGAAATGTAACATACATTATTCTGTTTTCATGTGTATAATCACCTGAATATAGGAATCGTTATGTTTTTGTTACCTTAAAATAAGCTGTTTATATCTACAGACGCTGCAGGTCACCTTCCATGGAGTTCGCCATGTTTCTACAGTAGCCCAGAAGGGACAAACCTAACAGTGGCTCTAGATAGGGGCGTTTTGCAGCCTCCGTAGTTTCGTCTTTGTGCTTTGGGTGACGTGACGGAGTTGCAATCTACAATTACACCGCTAGATATCACTAAATCCTACACACTGGTTCTTCAACATCTTTCGGAATGGATGTCCTGAAAAACCATTTCCACTACAAACATTTTTTCTAAATTTTGAAAAATAAATTGCGTAAGGTAGCCCAGTTTCCTGTGTTTACTGGCTTGGATCATAATAATTACATTTAAAAAAAGCAACTTGGTATCAGTGTTCTGGCAGGAGTTTTGTGTGCCCTTATTTTTGAAAAAGCTTATCCTGGTAATGCTTTATTCAAACATCACAAATAATCCGGTGAGATCTAGACAAAGGAAAGACGTATATGCTATAGGCAAACCAGTTTTTTACAGCAAACTTGACAAAATGTACATGTCATTATGTTGTCATTCCATATTTCTTTGCAAAATGTAACTGTAAATTGATTCTTGCAACTCAATTTCCTCCATAGTCACTCAAAAGAGAAAGAAAAAGACCTGAATGAATGTTTGTGAATGCATCAAAGAGAGAACATCTGTCACATGTCTGACTCTATGTGCTGGTGTCCTCATGGGGCCTCTTAAGCAACTGGAATTCTTTTATAAATGTACATTCACACCTTTATATAAAATCTCCTTCGCTTTTTGGTGATGCAATCAGTCATGCAGTTCATGTGACATATGTTTGTCTTTCTATTGTGCTACAGAAACGAGAAAAAAGGAAACATGAGAAGATTCTGAGTGAAGAGCTCTACCCAGCTGTGATCAACCTGAATCAGTTCCTCCCTCCCGACAACTGGATCGACTACATCGCCTGGGACATGGCCCGCTACACCAAGAGGTTGTTACATAAACTTTTTCAATTTAGTAAGGGGAAATTTGCTTATAACTCAGCTTTGTTATTGTCGTACATTTGCCATTAAAATATAAACCTCACCTGGAAAGAATAAAATGCCATTAGTCAGTAACCCTTAACCAGCAAGACTGAAATCTTGGAAATCTGACATTTTTTGGCTGAATTAAACATCATGCAACCTTTACAGTACAACTACAGCTAAAATATTTTATTTTTCTTAAATCTTATATGTTTCACTGTGATGATGAATTTGCCAATTTGGCATTTTGAAATTTTTTGAAAAAACACAAAACTAACTTTTCCACCGAATTTCCGCTACAGCAAATCGCCTCCCAATAATGTCAGAACCCCATTGTGTGTTGTGGAGGTCAGCGTATTTTGCATCAGAGTTCAATTTCATTGAACTGAAAGACCTTGTGAAAAAATAGAGCATTGTCGGCAACAAAATGTAAATAAATAAATAAGATCTCTGAAATGTTGCACTATTAGAACAACTATCCCCAGAATTTGGCCTTGCTTGGCTTCTGTTAATGCCTTGAAAAAAGTTACATATATTACATATATTTAGAAATAAATAAGCATATTACACAAGCCAGAGGTTTGTTACATCATCACTGTAACTCAGCTACACATACAGAAACATACAAAATTGGATATTTATTGATATGAACTTCCCTTTTTTTTTCTCTCTTAGTAAGTTGTGCAACGTTCTGGACCGTCTGAGTATGATAGCAGAAAACGTGGTTAAGCGGACAGGTTTCTTCATTAACTGCTCCGACTTCTTCTGTCATACCCTCAGACCAGATGACAGGTGAGCCTTTTCTTATCCTGTTCTGTTGTTTCTCTTAAAAACACAGCATGCTGACACACACACACTCTATTGGAGCAGATTTGAAGCTTTGTTCAGTGAGGCCTTGTCTGTAACGCGTTACCTTTCCATATGTAGCCAACCTTTAACCTAAATGAAATCTCTTATGACTCACATCTTTAGGGACTTCATAGCCGTTCTCCTTGTTTTAAGCAAGAAAACTGTTTAAATATCCAGAGGTCACAGTGTGTCAAAATGAGAGAGGGTAGCCGATTATGCACCAGCAATGTGAGAAAAAAGTTTAAGAAAAAGGAACCATGTGCGAGACCACACCACCATCACCAACTTTCTATTCATACATATTCAGAATCATACATTTATCGACACTGCTTAATTTTGAAACTCCCCAGATATGAATTTTTAATGAGAATTATTGCCCGATGGCAGTTGTGTCGCAGAGAGTTTTCTGCTAACGAGCTGAGAAGATTGCCGTCCATGTACTTAACGCATGGCTCTTCCATTGTCTGCGTGTCTTAATCTCTCTCAGCCAACATTACCATTCTGTTACATAACCTAACGACCACACCGTTGCCAGTATTTAACACCCTCTCTTTGCATTACCAAGCACTATTACATTCTTTGTAATACACTTGACACTCATGCACATGTGCTCTCATATACACACAACCAAATCCTGCATAAGCATGTATGTAGATACACTTACAATACAATACAACTATAGCACCTGTAGCCTTGGTCACACGTATGAATTAGATTTTCAATAATGTAGCTGATCAGGGAGATTTCATAACATTGTATTTTCCTCATCATACTGCTCTTGTCTGTCCTCTGACCATGTTTTCTCACACAAAACACATACATACTTGATACTTAAATTACAGTTGCCCATTGGTCAGGTCATTGAGTTCATAGAACACTTTGTTTGAGATACACTTTACTTTAAAACCTACCCTTCAACAACTATTGTATTTATCTTCAGGGCTCCCCCTATAAACAATGTAGATGCAGTTTTTCTCACTTTGCCTGTTGCTGTTTTTTGTAAAGCACTTTTTAAGAAGAAAGTGCTGAATGAGAGTAGTAGTATTGAATTTGGTGGAAAATAACTAATGAAGACAGAACCTAGAGCCAGAAGTGGTCAGTGCTCGTCTCGGTATCGGACTGTTCTTGGACTAAAATATGAAATTCAGATTCAACAACAACAAGTTCTGGTTTTACATTTTTACATATAGTATTAGTAATTTATTTACATTAGTACTGTTTTCTGGCTGCCAGATTTGATTTTTATACAGACATAAGAGTGGTATCAGTCCTCTAATCTAACTCTCAGCAGGAAAGCAAAAAAATGTCAAACTAGAAATTTTTACTTTTCTTAGCAGTCTATTCTTTAGGTTGAATTAAATGTCTTTTTTCTCAGGTGGGGAGATTTAGGTGGACACATCGCAGCCAGTGGACGGGTTCAGGTATGACACATAGCAAACAGGTTTGATGTAACTTCCGTTTCACAATTCACCTTTTTTTCTGAAGACACTGTTTATCAGTTGAATCATAGAAGGTAATAAACTTGCATATGAATTCATAGCATTGAGATTTCTAGGACACAGCTTCTGTTTATAATGTTTATTTAGAAGAGGCTCTGCGTTCATTGCTATATCTGCAAAACTATGCCAATGCATTTAGCTGCATAATGAGGGGTTTTGTGAGTAATCTTCCGAGAATGAGTTCTTTACTGTAATTTAATTGCCAGCACTTACTACACCAACCCCTGCTGTAGTTACTTGTTCAAACTATGTTATTCCTATGCAGTGCTCATCATTACAGTAGCTTTTGCCTGTTTCCAAATTGAAAAGTTGTCTTTTTCCACTTAAATTAAGTGGTGTCAGTAAGTTTCTGTATCTTTGTTGTTGTAGACCGGCGTGTTGCGGACCAACTGTGTGGACTGTCTTGATCGGACCAACACTGCCCAGTTCATGGTGGGGAAGTGTGCGCTGGCCTATCAGCTTTATGCACTGGGAATGATTGACAAGCCCAAACTCCAGTTTGATACTGACTGTGTCAGGTAAAGCTCTTTATTTTATAATTTATTTTGCCAGTCAAAAGAAAATATTAGTGTGTCTGCATGTGTGTGTTTTGTTCTTCCAAGCGACCAAAACCTTCAATGCGCCATGGCAAAATGTAAGCATTGAACATTGGTGGGGTGAATTTTTATGCATAACTCACGCTGTTTGAAAATTATATTGAAGGCTTAGAAGTTATGTATAATTAAGGACAGGTGGGTGTCTGATTGTGTTCAATCCCGAAACTCACCTTAATAAAAAAAACAGCAGCCAAGATAAACATCAGGACCATATTTTGCCTGTGTGTTAATGTCTCTTTTTGTGTGTTATCTGTGTCTGTGTGTGTGTGTGGCCCAGGTTGTTTGAGGAGCTGTATGAGGACCATGGAGATACTTTGTCGCTGCAGTACGGCGGCTCCCAGCTGGTCCACAGGGTCAAGACCTACCGCAAGATCGCTCCCTGGACTCAACACTCCAAAGACATCATGCAGACACTGTCACGCTACTACAGCAATGCTTTCTCAGGTGTGTTACATACAGAAGCATTCCTCTACTTGGAATTGCTTTTTCTTACACACATGCACAAATATAATTAAGGGTGGACTTCTGTCATGACACCAACATTATTTAAGCCTCTTCCCTCCCTTAATTCCACAATATTTGATAATGCAGGTTACTAACCTCTCATTTTAATTATGCATACCCCTTCATTTTCCATCACTTTTATTCTGAAATACATTCATATTAAACCCCAAGCTTGCCAATACACCAAACCCTGTGAAACTTGAACGCTCGTGTTCAAGGTTACCATAGGAACATAGATTCAGCCTTTGCATACATGTATACAGGAGTAGATTAAACACATGCAGCACTTTCCGGTAATATAGAGATAAATAAACACACACAGCCCCCCTGATATTTATATTAAAATAGTCCTCATAATGCATAACTCAAAGTATTTTCTCAGTATATGAAAAGAGACAAACTTTCTGAAAACATTTTGACAAACTTTTGGAAACAGTGTGACCTTGCTCTGCAGTCCGTACATCTTGGAGCTGATGTAACTTATTTTTATTTAACACAACACGTTGTAAGAGTAAGAAAACGTCATAAAGCTAAGGAATAGCCACAACTGCAAAGGCAAGTTAGATAGCTCAGACTGTAACCACATAAGCTCAGCTCTGATTGGTTGCTCCTGAAAAATGTCACACAGCACATTACATGGAGCGTTCATACAAAATCATATTGTTGTACAACAATATGTATTCTTCCAGTCTGTGATATAAAATAAATATAAAAATTGGTTTTAAAATGGCAAAATGTAAACATACACATTTCAGCATCTAAAGCTAAAGCAGACACTATCATATCCAGCATTGCTCCTGAGGACTGTGAGGGCCGGTAAACAGTGTGTTCAAAGCCATTTCTATGACATTTGCATTGTTTTTTTTATAGAAGCTTCTGAATTTATTGTCAACAGCTGTGAAAAAGGCATATTTTGAGGACATTTGTTTTCAGACATTGTTATCTGGAGAAATGTTTAAATTGGGTGAATTGATGTTCTTCTCTCTCTTCCAATTTGCAACTGGAATCTAATTGCCAATCAGTTCTTGATAAAGTGGCGTTGCTATGCCTGCAGTTTGGATTTCTAATAATTATAAATGACACCCTAGCTTGTAGTTAGATGCAGTTTGCCTATGAAAATGTTCATGGGTGTTTTCACAGTACATTGGTGACTGCTTCACATCAACGGTTAGCATTTGGAGCCACAGAAATGAAGAAGAAGGTTGGTTATTGTGTATTAAGCCAGGCGTAATAGAGCTGTACTACTTGACCTACTAAGTCAACCTCCTCTCTGTCTCTTTGCTTTCGACTCTTGTCATTCACTTCATTTTGAAAAATGGGATCTTTGGTTGGTTGTCATGCAGAGCCGGGAAAGTAGCAGATTGTTTATTCAGACTGAAATGTCAAGTTTGGGAGAGGCTCATATGTGGCAGTGCGCACGCACACACACACACACACAGACTATCATATACACAAGTACTCAATATTGCTTTGACTGCACACTCAGTAGTGCCATTACCTATATATCAGCTCTCATGATTTTAAGTGGTTGACTAAGATGACTGTTGCCCTGTTGTGCCTCTGCACTCTGCAGAATATATAAGGGCAAAGAAGAGAAAGAAAAAGAAAAATAGTCTGAGGACCAGCTGGTGTCTGCTGCCAACCTGCCCTTTTACTGGGGCACAAGATCCTTTACTTTGGTTTATCACCAAATTCCTACAAAACTAATGACATTTTCTATTGGCTGTACATTTAGTGCCAATTAGAAAAATGTAAGCATGCTAAGATGGTGAACATGATAAATATTATCATCCTGTTGGCATTGTGATTATGAGAATGTTACCCCCCTCTGTTACATTCCCAGACATGTGCATGCACTCTGTGTAAGGCCTGCCTCTGGACTGTTTCATAGCTCACTCATTGGCTATCCTGACACAGTAAACATTAAGGCCTTTTCAGATGTCTAAAACAAATTTATCATCTCTAATCTGAAAATGAAATGTCTGTACAAAAATATTTGATTTGGGGTGAAAGTGTCACATGTAACTGTTACTTGATTAGGTTGTGTTGGCTGCAAACCTATATTATTTATTCACTAATCTATTTCTTGTACAAACATCTTGTGAGACAAGGCTTTTTATCAATGATTTCTGTTGCATGTGTATATTATGTTCACATGTCATCCAGAACTCTCATCTCCTGATATGTTGAATGAAATTAAGGTGAAAATTACCTAGAGAAAAAGGCCTGGTAGCAGGCTGTAATAAAAGCCAATTTAGTTTCTAATTATCTAACGTGACTGTTGGAGCAGCATGCACGGGGGCTTCACAGTCGGGGGATGGATTAAATGCCACCAACATGCTAAACACGTGCCCCATGCTGAACACATGAACATTCACAGAGATTATCTGAGCACGCTCCCAGCCATCATGTTGTGTAGTGTGGTGGTTCATTACTGGTAATATCCCTGTTAATGGTAAGAGGACGCATAGTTCAATGAGTTCAGCTTTACCTATAATTCATTAATTGGCACTTCTGCAGTCTCTACTCTTTTTTCTCCACATGACTGGCTGGTGAAGTGTGTCTTTAACACTGAACTTTAAAGTTCATATTATGAACAAGTGTGATTTTGTTGGTAATTTAGCTCACTTGTTATCAGTGGCAGAATACGAGGCTGGTAAAGCTGATAAAGCTCATGTAGCTGAAAACCATTTCGTGATTAATGACAAATACATTTTAAATTCTTCTACCAAGGCATTATTCATTCAAAACGTTAAAGTGTAAAATAAATGTAGACAATACAGCATAAAATTAAAAAGTATATATAATATGTCACTTGTGTAGTGTGGACCATATTATGTAACACACATACAAAAATATGTCATCGACATACTGGCATCATGTCTTGACAAGTTTGACAGAATAATCACTTATTAGCCTTTTCCAGAGCTTTCCAACACATCTCAGGGTCTTTATCAGTGGATTGATTTTGCTTGGTTGCTGTAGTGGCGGCTTAGTTGTCATCATGAAACATAAGTTTGTTCCCTGATAACAGATGGTAGCGTACAATATACATCTTGAGTCATCTTCATGAAAACTGAGCACACTCCATCCTGATGAAGACCGTGAGTTGCAGTGTGCCACTGCACCGTTGTTGCCACTAAATCCTACACACTGGACCTTGAATCAGACTATTTGGTCCATATAATTGTGAAAAATGCTGGTTACAATTTTCTAAAGCCCAAGCTGATTTTTTGTTTTTTTGTTTTAGTCTAAACACAAAAATAATACATAACATCCCATACACTAAGGCTAAGACAAACATTAACCCTAACCCTTTTTAATAAAATCGTCTAGGTAAGAGACTAATAGATTTATCAACTCATCTTTTCAGCATACAAAAATCACTCAGATTTATTTAAACATATCCCTCAGTTAACTTCCTCAACTAATTGTAGCCTTATAAATTCTTTCCTGTGTATTTACCATATATTATGTCTTTATCTTTCAATATATTTTCATGATTATGTCCATTGTGCTCCTCCAGATGCTGACAGACAGGATGCCATCAACCTGTTTCTCCAAGTCTACCAGCCGTCAGAGTCCAAGCCGCACCTGTGGGAGCTGCCCACTGACTTCTACCTGCATCAGAGGAACACCATGGCCTTGCCCCAAGACAGACGCAGGTAAACGTACATACCTGTATATTTACAAACATGCAACTACTTACCGTAAACATACTGTATGTACAAATCTAAATAAGAACCCACTTACATAAATACATCTGAACACACAAATGCAGGTATATACTGAATATGTGTTCGAAAAACTGGATACATGTGATGATACATAACACACACACACACACATACACAGAATACCTCTTTCAGTTGCTCTTAATGTTTTGAATGTTTGTTGTGTTTTTGTGTTTGATTGAATAGCACAGTTGGAAATTCCACACCAAAGATTAGTACCTGCACTGCTGTTTCTTTCTTTTTTAAAAAGCTGAGGTTATACATGTTTGCCACGAGCAGCGAGGTTGTTCACATGAGCATGTGGGTGGATTTTGATGTTATTGTGTTTGCGGTCGTTCCACTTGATTGCTATATCAAGCAAGGGTCACAGTGCTTCGGCCTCAAGGTGTAATTATGTGTGTGGCACTCCTGAGGTTTGCTTCATGGCTTACCACCGCAGCCGATATGTTGTCCACATTAATGCAGCCACCTTATCTAAATAGGGCTTTTAATGGAGGCCCTGAGAGCTTGAACACTACAACTTAAGGAAACACATGAAAATGCGCAAACAATGTG